ACTGCTTGTAAAAAAAGGTGTCAGTTTTGTTGCCAGATAGAAGGGTAAAAAAACAATTATCATATTTTTTACTGGCAAATGAGGTTCCAATGGTGTAAATATCTGGCGCTTGTAGTAATTCAGGCCTCTTCTCTCCAGGCTGGGAGTCTCGCAGAGTAGCGCGGTCTGCCGCCGTGTTGGAGGATGGCCGACGGAAGCGGACACTACAGAGCTACCTCCGAGATCCTGCCGAGTGCCATCTGGTTCACTACGCACGGCGTTGAGGCCGGTACTTTCTCACGCGACGGTTCCGGCCGCTACTTTAATTCGCAGAGCTGGAATTTCACCAACTTGAACAAAGCGGGTTGGTTTCTTCCTGCAATCAATGGCGACAATTCACTCGCTACACTAGAGGTCCCCGTTTGATCACAACTCAGTCTCAGCGAGTCTACGGGTGACTATGGACATCTGTGAAAAATATCTTCATAGCTCATCGGATTTCTCCAGGATGAATAAATTAAGATTCTGATTCTAATCAAGACTCTGATGCAAAAAAACCCATTGGTCTCTACGTGAGCCTACGGGTCTCCGTGTAAGTCATTGCTGGTTAACGCCATCAACTCACTCCACGAGAGAACCCAGTTTAACCACGGGCAGCTGAAACCTGGATTGGAACCCAGGAACCCCAGCGTTGCCAGCTACAGCGCTCTGTCATCCGAGCCGCCAGGCCAACCAACACTATTGACGCTTTGTTCGCCGCGTGATGTCAACGATCGCCCAGCCAACGTTTCCCTCTCCTCCTCCTCACTCACTCGCACAGGGGAAGCTCTGTCCGGTGCTTCCGTTGCAAATAAAAAAATTTTTAAAGGAGAGAAGAGATGCCCTCCGCTTAAGATTCCTTTAACAAACAAAATCCATTCTGAAGAAGAAGAAAAAAAATAATCCACCGCAGAGAGAGCGAGAGAGAGAAATGAATGTTAAGAGGACGATCGCGTGCGTGGCTTGGCGCGCGACGCGAGCGTAGCCACGACGACGTGTCGCTTACGGATGAACAAGCCGCTCGTTTGTGTCGCCAAACTCCCTCGCTCTGCGGCGTCCTGGGGCATCGCCATTTAGCGCCGTCCAACCGCAGCGTGTGGCTGGGTAGTGGAGTGTGTGGGTAGTGGAGTGTGTGGCTGGGTAGTGGAGTGTGTGGGTAGTGGAGTGTGTGGGTAGTAGAGTGGCTGGGTAGTGGAGTGTGTGGGTAGTGGAGTGTGTGGGTAGTGGAGTGTGTGCCTGGGTAGTGGAGTGAGTGGGTAGTGGAGTGTGTGGGTAGTGGAGTGAGTGGGTAGTAGAGTGGCTGGGTAGTGGAGTGAGTGGCTGGGTAGTGGAGTGTGTGGGTAGTGGAGTGTGTGGGTAGTGGAGTGTGTGGCTGGGTAGTGGAGTGTGTGGGTAGTGGAGTGAGTGGGTAGAGGAGTGTGTGGGTGGATAGTGGAGTGTGTGGCTGGGTAGTTGAGTGTGTGGCTGGGTAGTGGAGTGTGTGGCTGGGTAGTGGAGTGAGTGGCTGGGTAGTGGAGTGTGTGGGTAGTGGAGTGAGTGGCTGGGTAGTGGAGTGAGTGGCTGGGTAGTGGAGTGTGTGGGTAGTGGAGTGTGTGGCTGGGTAGTGGAGTGAGTGGCTGGGTGGTGGAGTGTGTGGCTGGGTAGTGGAGTGTGTGGCTGGGTAGTGGAGTGTGTGGCTGGGTAGTGGAGTGTGTGGATAGTGGAGTGAGTGGGTAGTGGAGTGAGTGGGTAGTGGAGTGAGTGGCTGGGTGGTGGAGTGTGTGGCTGGGTAGTAGAGTGTGTGGCTGGGTAGTGGAGTGAGTGGCTGGGTAGTGGTGTATGTAGCTGGGTAGTAGAGTGTGTGGGTAGTGGAGTGTGTGGCTGGAAAAGTGTCCGTGCATCATTCCCTGGCTGTCAATCCCGTAATGGGCGCCGGAGGGTGGGGGCTTAGGGGCGGGGGGATTGGGGGGGGCTTGGGGGGGGGAAGTCACTTCGACTCTTGAGTAGAAGACGATCGAACACGAACGAAACTTTCGGTGTAAAGTTGTGGCTGTGCATTTTCATCGGGACGATCACCGTCGCCGCCTTTCATTTGCTTTCAAACGGAAGTTGAAAGCGTCTACGCGCGCGTTCCGTCTGTCCACCCATCCACTCGTAACACGGCGGTTAAGATCGCTCGGATACCGACGATCCAACACGGGCGAAACTTCAGTGTGAAGTTTTGTCGCAATTAGGGACTGACCCCGTTGAAGACTGGCAAACGTGATCAAACCACCATTCCCCCAACTTGGAAAGTACAATCCAGAGCAAAGAGGGCCAATTCATTAATACTCAAAAGGATTTGGCCCTGACTGCTACCCCCAGCAAATTCCATGCTGTTAAATAAATACTTCCATTGACTTAAGCGTGTTGGAGAGCGTTATGTAATGTACGCATTTGCACGAATATTTTTTTGGCTTGGTACTGCCTGGTCCCGTGGTCGTGGAGATTCATGGGGACATGGAAGACGGCATGCAGGGCCAGCCGTGGTTTAGGTCGCCGCGTGGTGGCGTTGGCGATGATGGCGGCGGTGGTGGCGGTAGTGGTGGTGGCAGTGGTGGCGGCGGCGACGTTGGTGGCGGTGATGGTGGCAATAGTGGCGGTGGCGGTGGTGGCGGTGATGGTGGCGGTGGTGGTGGCGGTACTGGTGGCAGTGGTGGCGGCGGTGACGTTGGTGGCGGTGATGGTGGCGGTAGTGGTGGTGGTGGCGGTGGTGGCGATGACGTTGGTGGCGGTGATGGTGGCAATAGTGGTGGTGGTGGCGGTGCCGATGATGGCGGCGGTGGTGGTGGTGGTGGCGGTGGTGGCGGTGACGTTGGTGGCGGTGATGGTGGCAATAGTGGTGGTGGTGGCAGTGCCGATGATGGCGGTGGCGGTGGTGGCGGCAATGGTGGTGGTGGCGGCCGTGGTGGTGATGGCGGTGGTGATGACAGTGGCGGTGGTGAGATTAATGAACCATGCCCGCATTTATCTTCGTTTCCGACCGAGGTGGCGTCGTGGCCACGCAAGGGAGGCGTTCGTGCCGCCTCGTTGAGTGCCCGTCAGAGGGTGCGTGCGCGTGTACGCATCGGTGCGTGCGTGGGTGCATGTCCGCGTGCGTGTGTGGGTAGCGGTAGTGTAGCCGTTAGCGCACTGCGCTATGAACCCGGCGACACGGGTTCGATTCCCGCTCACGGCCAACACCAGTGACGGTTATCTAAACCGGTACCGGGCCTCCCCTAGGTCGACTCAGCCTCAAATGAGTACCTGGTGCGGTGTGTAAACATTGCCACTTGGGAAACAAAGGCGGTCGGGCGTGGTGCTGGCCACCCACCCCCTCGTGTACCGTTCCGGCCTTCATAGGTGCTCGCTAACAGCACTTGCCCCTACAGTCTGTTAAGGCTACATGGGGGATCTTTATCTTTGTTGTGTGCGTGCATGGAGACCTGTGCTGATCCCAGTAACCCTGGTGCCTGTGTGGGATTTGCTGCTTGGATTTCACTCAGATTATTTACCTTTTGTTGTTAATATTTAGATACATTTTTTTGGGGGGGGGGAGGGGTGGGATTTTTCCCACCAATGTGAACTGTCCTGGACCATCAACTCCTCGTCCACTCCACAGTCCGTCACATCCCCACTCTCCATCACCTCTCTCTCTCTCAGCCCGCCTCTCGGTATCCGCCCCGGTGCTTCCCTGCTCACCGCACTTCATCTTCTGATGTGGATTTCCTTTCTTCTCATGGCGCGTGTCCCCTTAGCCACCTCTCAGCGTGTCTGAGATGGGCACCGCTAGCCCCTTAACCATAACCCTAACCCCTAACCCCCAACCCTAACTGACATATCTCGCTAGCCACCTGAGATGACTTCCTCTCAGCGTGTCTCTGCTGAGCAATTTTAATAACACATTAATAATCATGACAATAATCGTTTGTCAATCCACTGCTGCATGAAGGCACTCCTCCCCCCCCAACTCCGTGTGGGTAATTGCAGGTCTATTGACCATACTTCACCACCCTGGCTAGTGTGGGTCGGTGAGGAGGAGGGAGAGTCCGTGTCGCCTGCATCAGACTGTAGGGGCAAGTACTGTTAGCGAGCACCTATGAAGGCCGGCACGGCACACGAGGGGGTGGGCGGCCAGCACCATGCCCAGTCGCCTTTGACTCTCTCTTGGTGACATGTACACATCGCACCAGGTACTCATTTGAGGCAGAGTCAACCTAGGGGAGGCCCAGGACTGGTTCAGATAATCGTCACCGGTGTTGGCCGTGAGCGCAGGATTTGAACTCGGTCGCCGGGTTCGTAGCGCAGCGTAGCGCTAAACCCCTACACTTACTGCTCCCCCACAATATACCACTATATATATACTTACTTTACATACACTGAAGCTGCAATAGAATATGCGAGCGTGACCTTTCATGCAATGTGCACCTCCCGCCGACAGCATGCGCAGGCTACCTGAGAGACCGCTGCCTTTGTCACTGTCTGTTCCACGGTTCTCCGCGAGATCTCACGGGGGCGGGAGACGAGACGCAGAGTGAGAGAGAGCGAGCGAGAGAGCGAGCGAGAGAGAGCGAGGGTTGAGAGAGCGAGAGAGCGAGCGAGAGAGAGCGAGGGTTGAGAGAGCGAGAGAGCGAGCGAGAGAGAGCGAGGGTTGAGAGAGCGAGAGAGCGAGCGAGCGAGGGTTGAGAGAGCGAGAGAGCGAGCGAGCGAGGGTTGAGAGAGCGAGAGAACGAGCGAGAGAGCGAGCGAGAGAGCGAGCGAGGGTTGAGAGAGCGAGAGAACGAGCGCGCGAGGGTTGAGAGAGTGAGAGAGCGAGCGAGAGAGCGAGAGAGCGAGCGAGGGTTGAGAGAGGGAGTGGGCGAGCGAGGGTTGAGAGAGCGAGGGTTGAGAGAGTGAGAGAGCGAGCGAGAGAGTGAGCGAGCAAGTGAGAGAGCGAGAGAGCGAGTGAGGGTTGAGAGAGCTGAGAGAGCGAGCGAGCGACTCACATGCAACTTCTTGAGGAGGACGGCGTCCGGCGCGTTGTTGACCCCAGGTTTGGCCGCCTTCCAGAACTGCTTCTGCGCCGAGTAGCGGTTCATGGGGCACATCTTGAAGAGGCAATCTGCGAGCGCTCGCCCCCCACACACGACAACGACAACACACAACAACGCACGACGAAGCGCGTGTCAGCGGGAGCCCGCCTGCGATTTGGGTGACCGGCCCGGGGTGGCACGGCTCGCGATCGGAAAGGTTGCGAGTTCGAATCATGGCTGGTTGACTCAGTCCCATCATCTGTCGAGGGTCCGTAAAATGAGCGCACACCTTGTCGGAAAGTCAACGGCATTTGTCCTCATGGCGAGACTCGCCCCGGCCATGGGAAGGTCGAAATTTCCAAGAACTGCCACATTTGAGCGGAAAATCACCGCCGCCTTTGATTTATTTTCAAGCGAAGGCTGAAAGCGTTTACGCGCGAGCTCTGTCCGTCCGCCCGCTCGTAACGCGGGGTCACGATCGATCGCGTGCCCACGATCCAACACGAGCGAAACTTCAGTCTTGTCGCCATTAGGGACTGGTCCCGTTGAAAGCTGGCAATCGCGATCAAACCACCATTGCTCCAACTTGGAAAGTACAATCCAGAGCAAAGAGGGCAATTCATTAATACACAAAAGGATTTGGCCCTGACTGCTACCCCCATCAGCGTCCATACTGTTAAATAAATATTTTCAATGTTGGAAAGCGTTACATAATCCGTGCATGTGCATGTGAATATTTTCAGACTTTTTAAAAGTCACATCTGTGCTTAAAGTTATCCCTGGATTGGCTCCCAGTTCAATTCCGGGTGGATTAAAATATTCTCCGACATGCGTTCATCAAGAAACACGCTCCACAATCCAGCCACACACTCCACCACCCAGCTACTCACTCCACTACCCACACACTCCACTACCCACTCACTCCACTACCCAGCCACACACTCCACTACCCACCCACACGCTCCACTACCCACACACTTCACTACCCAGCCACACACTCCACTACCCACACACTCCACTACCCAGCCACACACTCCACTACCCAGCCACACGCTCCACTACCCAGCCACACACTCCACTACCCAGCCACACACTCCACTACCCACACACTCCACTACCCAGCCACACACTCCACTACCCAGCCATACACTCCACTACCCAGCCACACACTCCACTACCCAGCCACACGCTCCACTACCCAGCCACACACTCCACTACCCACACACTCCACTACCCACACACTCCACTACCCACACACTACACTACCCACACACTCCACTACCCAGCCACACACTCCACTACCCACACATTCCACTACCCAGCCACATGCTCCACTACCCACACGCTTCACTACCCAGCCACACACTCCACTACCCACACACTCTACTACCCAGGCACACACTCCACTACCCACACACTCCACTACCCACACCCTCCACTACCCACACACTCCATTATCCACTCACTCCACTACCCAGCCACACACTCCACTACCCACAAACTCCACTACCCAGCCACACACTCCACTACCCACAGACTCCACTACCCACACGCTCCACTACCCAGGCCACACACTCCACTGCCAGCCACACACTCCACTACCCAGCCACACACTCCACTACCCACACGCTCCACTACCCAGCCACACACTCCACTACCCAGCCACACACTCCACTACCCACACAATCCACTACCCAACACTCCACTACCCAGACCACACACTCCACTACCCAGCCCACACACTCCACTAACCACACAATCCACTACCCACACACTCCACTACCAGCCACACACTTCCCCCACCCTCCCCACCCACTCCACCCCACACACTTCACTACCCAGCCACACACTCCACTACCCACACACTCCACTACCCAGCCACACACTCCACTACCCAGCCACACGCTCCACTACCCAGCCACACACTCCACTACCCAGCCACACACTCCACTACCCACACACTCCACTACCCAGCCACACACTCCACTACCCAGCCATACACTCCACTACCCAGCCACACACTCCACTACCCAGCCACACGCTCCACTACCCAGCCACACACTCCACTACCCACACACTCCACTACCCACACACTCCACTACCCACACACTACACTACCCACACACTCCACTACCCAGCCACACACTCCACTACCCACACATTCCACTACCCAGCCACATGCTCCACTACCCACACACTTCACTACCCAGGCACACACTCCACTACCCACACACTCCACTACCCACACCCTCCACTACCCACACACTCCACTATCCACTCACTCCACTACCCAGCCACACACTCCACTACCCACAAACTCCACTACCCAGCCACACACTCCACTACCCACAGACTCCACTACCCACACGCTCCACTACCCAGCCACACACTCCACTGCCCAGCCACACACTCCACTACCCAGCCACACACTCCACTACCCACACGCTCCACTACCCAGCCACACACTCCACTACCCAGCCACACACTCCACTACCCACACAATCCACTACCCACACACTCCACTACCCAGCCACACACTCCACTACCCACACCCTCCACTACCCACACACTCCACGACCCACACACTCCACTACCCAGCCACACACTCCACTACCCACACACTCCACTACCCAGCCACACACTCCACTACCCACACACTCCACTACCCACGCACTCCACTACCCACACCCTCCACTACCCACACACTCCACTACCCAGCCACACACTCCACTACCCACACACTCCACTACCCACACACTCCACTACCCACACCCTCCACTACCCACTCACTCCACTACCCAGCCACACACTCCACTACCCACACACTCCACTACCCACACACTCCACTACCCACACACTCCACTACCCAGCCACACACTCCACTACCCAGCCACACACTCCACCACCCAGCTACACACTCCACTACCCAGCCACACACTCCACTACCCAGCCACACACTACACTACCCACACACTCCACTACCCACACACTCCACTACCCACACACTCCACTACCCAGCCACACACTCCACTACACACACACTCCACTACCCACACACTCCACTACCCACACCCTCCACTACCCACACACTCCACTACCCACACACTCCACTACCCAGCCACACACTCCACTACCCAGCCACACACTCAACTACCCACACACTCCACTACCCACACACTCCACTACCCACACACTCCACTACCCACACACTCCACTACCCAGCCACACACTCCACTACCCAGCCACACACTCCACTACCCAGCCACACACTCCACTACCCACTCACTCCACTACCCAGCCACACGCTTCACTACCCACACACTCCACTACCCACACACTCCACTACCCACACACTCCACTACCCAGCCACACACTCCACTCCACCCCACACCCCACTACCCACACACTCCACTACCCACACCCTCCACTACCCCCACACTCCACTACCCACACACTCCACTACCCAGCCACACACTCCCACTACCCAGCCACACACTCCACTACCCAACACTCCACTACACCCCACACACTCCACTACCCACACTCCACTACCCAGCCACACACTCCACTACCCAGCACACACCCACTACCCAGCCACACTCCACTACCCAGCCACAACTCCACTACCCACCACTCCACTACCCACACACTCCACTACCCAGCCACACACTCCACTACCCAGCCACACTCCACTACCCATCCACACACTCCACCACCCACCACACACTCCACTACCCACACACTCCACTACCCACACACTCCACTACCCAGCCACACACTCCACTACCCAGCCACACACTCCACTACCCATCCACACACTCCACCACCCAGCCACACACTCCACTACCCAGCCACACACTCCACTACCCACACACTCCACTACCCAGCCACACACTCCACTACCCAGCCACACACTCCACTACCCAGCCACACGCTTCACTACCCAGCCACACACTCCACTACCCACACACTCCACTACCCAGCCACACACTCCACTACCCAGCCACACACTCCACTACCCAGCCACACGCTCCACTACCCACACACTTCACTACCCAGCCACACACTCCACTACCCACACACTCCACTACCCAGCCACACACTCCACTACCCAGCCACACGCTCCACTACCCAGCCACACACTTCACTATCACTCATTAACTTCCTGAAAACATCTCCTGGATATATAGATATGTATAAGTATATCTAAGTAAAATATAACTAAGTAAACAAGCCAAGATGAGTCTTATTCACAACAGTGACCTCAGTCAGAAACAATGAAGGTAAACAAAGCATTTCGATTTAAAGCTTTCGTGACTGCAGGAATTCATCTTCTTGGTTCTTTCGGTAAAGTCACGTAGAAGGGAAGTAATAAAATAATAAAAATAAAACATAATAAAATAATTCTCAGCGAAATGAAAACGTGTTCCATTTCGGTGAGAATTATTTTATTATGTTTCATTTTTATTATTTTATTACTTCCCTTCTACGTGACTTTACCGAAAGAACCAAGAAGATAAACAAAGCATTGTACAGCGCAACGAAGCCACTAGAAAAACATAGCGATAACAATTGCGTTTAAGAGAAGAGAACACTCAAACATGACCAGGTTATTCGTAAAACTGCCGTCAATACAAAATCACCTATGCACCACACTCATCGGTAACGCGGCCTGAATGACGGATACGTCGAGTTGTTGATTTGCGCGTGTTTTTACACCGCTGGCACTGAACGCTGCCTCCGATTAAAATGCTTTCCGTCCCCATGAGGGCCGGCTTGAGAGAGCGAGAGAGTGAGCGAGAGAGAGAGAGCGAGAAAGAGAGAGGGAACGACATGGAGTAGGAAGAGAGGGGGTACAGAGAGAGGGGGGGGGCAGAGAGGGGGGTAGAGAGGGAGGGAAAGGGGTAAGGAGAGCAGAGCGAGAAATCTTTTGTAAAATATTTCATTCAAAAAAGGAGGGGGGTTACATACAGCAAAGCATAAAAAACACACACAAAAAAAAACCGAAATGATGAACGAAGCAAAGTGCCGACTACACCGAGCATCTTCTTGTTTCCTCTGATCGTAAAACAAAAAAGAGGATGTGCAT